AACTGGTAGCCTGTGGTCGGGACATTCAAGGATTGGTAGGATTTTAAAGAGGTAAAGTAGAAGGAAGAACATTAGCACAGGGGCAGCAGTAGGAATAAAACAGATCTAGAGAATTTCACGTAGTCCAGTTGGACTGGATCACGAGAAAGAAAAGGGCAGAAGTTTAATATTGGGGCAAGACCGGAAACGTCCAGGAATTCAAAGATAAATATTTAGAATTTAATGCAATAGGGCAGAGTGACCCACGGAAGGGTGGAACAAAGAGTGACATGATCAAAGCAGTACTGATATTACTGCAGCGAAACAAAACATCCTTTCTTTCTTCAGTTTAAACCAAAGGAAAACGACTTTTGAGAACCTAGTACTCTGAGCCGTACTATTTTCATCACTTTTCAAATACAGGTAGAAATTCATTGTGTTTTATTGAAACTCATAAAATCCCAGTGAAAATTTTCCTAAAATGTTTACCTTGAACATCAACTTTTGTTCCTAGTGTGAATAACCAACCAGACTTAGTGGTCGCTGGTGCATATGAGGTAAGTAGTAAAGCTTTCTAAGTGTGTGTCAGCGAGTCATACTCGAAGACCGTGTCATTTGACAGTAGCAGCTTCTAGAAATCTCATTTTCAGAAAACAGCCTCTCTGTTACAATGTGTGGGGTTTGAAGGATATAGGTGGATAATCAAATATGAAATTCCATAGAGGATATATCACTATTTAAAGAATCTGAGGCTAGAAAAATCTAAATGAAACAGTCATTGCTCACACTTTAACAGTATCTGACTGCTACAGAATAAAGTACACTAGTAATCATTTCATTTTGCCAGAAAAAGTAAAAGATATCCCCAAGTAACGCTTTCGAGTTTTGTTAATACATTTTGTCACAATAAATTTTTACTTAGGAGGGCACCATTTTCTATTAGTTAATTTTTTTCCCACTAATTTTAGTGAACTAACAGAACCAGAGCTTGACGTAATTAAAATCAGAAACAATGTTTTGTCTGCTGCACAAATCAGGAACCTTATTTTAAAAGAATCAACAGACAATTTTCAACTGAAAAATGGGAAATAAGAACACAGATACGATATAGGAAGAAATATTTAACCCAAAGAACTAGTAAGAACTGCCAAAAAAAAGGTGAAAATCCTGGGAAACAAGGGGGAAAAAACCCAAAACAAACAAACAAAAATGGTCACATTCACGTCAGGACACAAAATTAGAGTTCTAGACAAACTCTGACCACAGTCATTACCTCAACATCCTCAGGTATTCAAACCATTAGCTCCTCAAGCTTCCTTTTCCTAAAATGCTCCTGAGATCAATCCCTGGTCAGGTAATACAGGAAGAGGTCTAAAGTTGTTCGACATTTCCTGGCTTGTAGCCACGTTGGCCCTTGTTTTTCTCACGTGCAGTTGAATCTGATCATCTCTCCCCCCACTACATTTCTTTCCCCCATCATGTCAACAATTCTAAAACAAGGAAATATACAACACACCCTTTTATTAAGTTGCCTTCTTATCTCAAAGGTGATGAATCCTGATGGAATTTTCTGAGTATTTTGAAGAGCATCTAAAACCACTTTTATAACAGCGTCTAAAATTAGCCAGTTGTGGGGATCCCAAACTTAATGACTAGTAATTTTCCCCCAGAAACTTCAGATGAAAACAATATCCTATTATATACAACTGGAGAGTGTAAAAGGCAGGCCATCTGACACTTTGTTTTAAGCAAGGGTGTTAAAAGTGGCAAGAATGAAAAGTTATAATTTTTAACCCCAATCCTGGGTTTTAAAACTTCAGAGACACAGTGAAAAGTATCATTTAGTTCATGTACAGAATTGTATTGTAGGTTTCTAATATGCTTTTCCATAGAAAGTTTACTTTTGAAAGTATACGATTGTTTGGCTTTTTAATACACTGAAGTACAAAACAGCAAACATTCTTGAAACAAAAATGATCTGCTGTAATCTTCAGGAAACTTTAAGTCTCTCTGTTGCTGAAGTGATATTCTCTTCACCACAAAATTGTCTCCAGCTACTTGAGCACATGTTAACCTCTCCCTTCCATAACCATTGGGTACCGGACTATGGAAGATCTTACGCTGGTCTGTAACTGCTCAACATCTATACGTTCTACCTTGTTAAATGAACTCTAACCTTCTCAAGAGCAGGATAACCATATTTTTCTTTATCTTGTTACTATATAATGCTGCACAAGACTACAGAAAATTTCATTTAAGAAGTCAAGTGTTACAGATATTTGATTCCTAATGCTCTTTCTAAAGTGTTGTTTCTGTACGTAGGACAACCTAGTGAGTCTGGTTGCTGACAAGTAGAAAAAAAATCAAGTTCTGGAAAACCTGAGCAGAAACTTCATCACACTAAAAAACTAAAGAGGAGAAATTAGATAATGATCTGGAAATTGTTTCCTGTCTCTAATAACCATAGCTGCCACTAACTTCCCCCTCCCCCTTCCTTCTATCACACACACCAAATTAACGGGGAAAAAACCTGGATAATTCATTCACAACATGCAAGAGCTAAATTATCCAACTATCTGCATTCTTTCCCCAAGTCTTCCCTTTTTTAATATAAAAATTAAAATATATAAGAAAGAAGAAAGTAATATTTTGAAGTCTACTACCTGAAAGGAACATCACTAGTGATTTTACGTGTTATATCATATATTATTATCTACATTTTGTCAGTGAGACAACTGAGGCCCAGTGAGGTTGAATAGTTTCCCTAAAGCCAAAATCTCGGGTTTTCTTCCCCCACTACATCCAGCTAGAGTTTGTCCCACAGTTTAGTCACTCATTGAGAAAACATTTATCACAAACTAGTCACCACTCTAGATACTGGAAATACAAAAGTGTGTGAGGCAGCCCATGCCCTCTCACAGAACGTACATTCTAGTAATGAAAGCAGAAACTAATAGCAAACGGGATAATTTGAGAGTTATAATTATTCACCAATATGACTTATGTACAGTGATAGTCAAATATTTCTAAACATCTCTGAAATTAAATAGTTACAAAAACAAGAGGCGAGGCATTGACGATTGGCCCTCTTGTCAATTACTGAGCTAAGCCATTGCGTCTTTTAATAAATCAGAGGGAGAGAGAAGGAAGCAGAGTATTAATGCTGCTCAGAATGTCTATAAAATAAAGTGACTATGTGAGATATCAGAATGGACAGCTCCAACAATGCTGGTTATCAAACCCCAAATTCCATCTTTATCCATTGTTACTAAGGTACCGCTGCATCATTTGACGAGTTGATTTCGAAAAATCAAGGGAGTGTTGTAACTTGACATAATCCCCCTATCAGAAACACAGGAGGGTTCCAACATCTTCATCATAAGGTTCCCCAGGCTGCACATGGTATCTGTTGAGCAATGGTATCGAGCACTCGGTCCATGGCCAGCAAGAACTCTGGCACTCAGAGAATAGAGTGGTCAGTAGCTACCAGGAAGTGCCTGGCCCCCGTGTGGCAGTTCCCATTACCCTCCACACTCCAAAACTTCACATCTATTAAACTTGGGAATGTATGCAAAATTGTTTTGTTTTAAGCAATGAGGACTCAGTGGAACCTACTTTTCCATCCCATACCTATTTATACAAGTATAAAAGTTGACTAAATTAGTTGTCAGCTATTTCTATAGCTGTCCCCACCCTTTTCCATGATATTTATAGTGTTGCGTAATTTGGGTTGGCCCCGTCACTAAGAGAACTTGCATGTGTAAACTTTGGAACTCCTGAGGAGGGCAGTTCCCAGAGTGAATGCTCCCCCGAAGAAGATGGAAGGCAGTCTAGAGGTCAAGGGCTCCAGATCAGCCCTTCATTCCCAGGGCTATACGTTCCTACCAAAGCACGCTTCAAGTCTATTTTTGACGCATAAGTTACTACGTGGGGAGTAGGGTCTGTTTTAAGTTCATCAGGGTACACCTTCCACTTCCTCCTAAAACTGTCACACTCCAGCAGCTAAGATCTCAAAGAAGCCTCAGTCCCCTTCTAGAATCTTTCCCTCCCTTGCTTCAGAAGGCAGCAACAGTCCTTTTCAGACGAGCGGCATCCACAAGCCAAAAGTTTGCAGCAAACTTTCATTTAGACATCAACCCTCACCCCAAAGTCCTGCCACTTAACCAAGGAGGCAAAAGGATTCCACCCCACCGCCCCGCTCCCGGTAAGAATGAGCCCACGTTCTGTTCTAAATCTTTCCCCAGATTCTGCCACCACCCACCCCAACACCGGACTCCATCCGGTCCGAGAGGGACCACCCCCCGGCCCAGAACCCAGGGGGCGGGGGCACGGGGGTCTCCCGGGAAGCACACACCTTAGATTGATCCTCTCGCGCGAGGGGAGAGAGAGCAGAAGCACCCGTTTCCGCGGGCCTGGGCGGAGTCTCTGCCTCCCCCGAATCAGCGCCTCGGTCCGTATACTAGCAGCGAGGCGCGCGTGGATGTCACTCACCCCGAACAAGCAGGGCGACTGTAACCCGACGCACCAGAGCAGCCGCGCCCCCGCCTCCCCCGAAACTCGCGCCTCCCGCTCCCCTCCCCGAGGGTCGACCCCGGCGGCGCGACCGCCACATCCAGCCGCATACCTCGGGCCCAGGCTCCGCCGACCCAGCGGGGAAGCGCGGAAGTGGAGGCGGGGGACCCGGCCGGGAAGGCGGGGAAGCGCTGCGAACCAGCGGGCAGAGAACGAGCGAGGTCTCCGCCTCCAAATGAACATGACTAGACCTGGGCGCGGGGCCCGTGGGGATGGGCCGCGGCGCGGCGTGTGCGTGGCCCTGGCCCCAGGCCCCAAGTCCTGCCCGCGTCCTCGCCCGGCCTCACTCGAGGCCCTCCGCCCAGCCTCGCCAGCCGGCTGGCGGGCCGGGAAGCCTCAGCGGGGCTAGGCCGGGGGAAGACGGCGGAGGTGTCTTTTGGGCCATCCTCGCCACCTGCCCAAGAGAGAGGAGACACTCGTCCGCCTGCACGCCGGCGGGGCTGGCTTACCTGATTTCTCGTTACCCGCCCCCGAATCTGGCTTCCCCTATTCGGCAGGCAGGCTTCCCTGGGCCTAGAAACGCGTCTGGGAGGCAGGCGGACCCCTGGGACCCCACCGTCAGAGCCCAAAGCCTTCGCCCGGGCTCCCCCCGCGCGCTCTGGAGGCGCGCCCGGCCGCCTGACCCCTGCCTGAATGTCAGCAAGAGCCGCAGGGAAGACCAAGCCCAAGCTTCAGGGGGTGGGATGCTGAGCACGGGCTCCTCGGGCCCAGCCTCTTACAGGTGGGGGGAGGGGAGAGCCCGGGCAGCAGAGCAGCAAGCTTCCCAGTTGCACCCCCAGAACCAACCCTGCCCACTGAGCATGCCCAGCTCACTTGTTGGCACTAGAAGTGCTAGGCGAGGCCAAGGGGGCCCAGGGAGGACGCAGATGGGGTTCAGATTGACCCATTTCTTTAAGGTCTTTCCTCTGACGATCTCTGGGAGCTTTACACGTAACGTTTCTACCGTGGTATTGGAAAATACCCAAGGAAGGGTTGGAAAGGCCTTCCAAAAAAAGGCAGCCAAATTAGTTTGAAACAAAATCGCAGGGGTGGGGCTTTTTCAGCCAATTATTTATTGTCACTTACTAATTTCTTTAAATACCAGATAATTATTATAATTGACCCAGAGGAATATGTAGTTTTATTGGGTCCCAAACTCATCATAGTAACAGGAAACCAGCCTATCCAATGGGTAGTCTCTGAAGTGGAACAGCGGGGGATTGGGGCCGGGGGTGGGGGTGGGGGGCTGTTAAGTGATCAATGCTAGGTTCCCATCCCCACACCAGTTGAGTCAGTCGGTGGATGGAACCTGGAAATCTTTATATTTTAAAACTATGGGTCTCAAAGTGTAGCTGGGGGAGCCAGAATCACCAGAGAACTTGATAGACATGCAGATTCTCAGCTTCACTCCAGACTACCTGATTCTTAAACTCTGGGGCCAGGGACCTAGCTGATTGAACAAGCCCTTCAGGTGATTCTGGTGCACACTACAGCTTGGAACCACTGTTGAAACCCTCCCCCCACCCCATGATCCACATGAGCACCCAGGCAGGGTTGAGAACCCCTCTAATAGACCATTGCTTTCACATTTTTTCAAATCCTAAACATTTGTCTAGAAGAGCAACACGTTGCATAGAAAAGGAATAATCTGGCAGAATTGAGGTGCCAGTCCTGGATTTTCTTCCCACTGATTCTCCCAGGACAGTTCAGTGCTTGGAAAATGGAGACAACATATTCACTTTTGTACCTAGCACAGTCCCTATAACATAATAGATGTTCTATAATTGTTCATTGATATGAAATGAATGCTCAGGTGAACAATTTGTTCCGAGCCCTATTATGTCTGCTGTTTATTTTCCCCACAAGTCCTGGTCACCTTGCTAGCTAACAAGCCAGCAGGGATTCAGTTCTCATCAATAACCCATGACCATCCATGATGGTCCAATCCAAGTCAGACCCTGACGGAATAGGACATGGGAGGAGGTAGAGAACTTTGAGGTGAGAAAACTCAGAAGCCCTGGACATGTTTTCACTTGCCAAGGCTGGGGCACAAAGCAACCAAAGGAAAGCAGGAGGACCCTAGGCATTGGTGGAATTCAGGAAAGGTATCAAATGAAAAAGGTGTGTAGGGGAGGGGTTAAGAGAGGAGAGATAAGAAAGCTTAACATGCATGATAAGCATACAGCTTACTCTGGATCTTCTTTTTCTAAACAACCCACCTCAGCCCTCCTCTTCCCCATGCTCCATACACATCTAATCTGAACTACAGCCTTGAAAAAAAAATTTAATTAGAAATCATTGTAAAATAATTACTTCCAATTACTGCATAAAAACATAGCTGATTTGTAGTTATTCAACATAACTTAGGCATCCACTTTTATTCAAGGCAAAAGTGGTAAAAAAATTAACTTTTCAATATATACACTAGATAATTTCAAAATGCAGAGGTTTATGATCCTTCTGCTTTAAGACCGACAGAGACTTACAAAATCAAAAACTATGCCGTGTTTACTCCATCAGTATCTTCTAGAAGGAATAAAGTATAAAAATAATTTTTTCCTTTTAGCCTTGAACATGATGCTTTAAAACTTAGGTTACTATTTATGAGTACCTAAAGTAGCTTTCCACCTCTCTATCTCTGCCCCTGGGTCTTGCTTATTATGATAAGAATTCCACGGAAAGAATTTTGTTGCTGACTGAGGTATCTAACAGTAATGTAATTCCCCATATGGATAAGCAATTTCTTTTCATTGTTAAGATAATTTTATGGGGAGGAGGGCAATAATCATTCATTTAGAAATTACTCTTCAGTATTACACTTTACACTAGATACACAAACAATATTAAAAAGAAAAAAAGTTCCCTACACACATACACTTGTTACAGCTTCTCATGGAATTAAAATAAAACCAAACAAACATGCTGAGGGCTAAAAAGGGAGAAAACTGAGTGAGGGTGTAGGAGGGGAAGCACTTATCATAACTAAATTTAAAAACATGAAGTAATTATTTTAGCAGAAAACGATCTACTGACCCTACAAGTACCTCAGAGAAGTTAAGAGTCTTAAGTGTTTCTCTTTGTCGTCTTAAGCATGACTCAGCATTTGGAATGAAACTGTGTTTACTGTCTTTCAGATTGAGGGTGTCAAATAACCTTGGTGCCACCTAACTCTTTTCTCATGTGCCTATGGAAACTTCAGTTCTATCCTAGGTTTTCAGTCTCACATGGCTACCGAAATCTGAAAAGCTTTCCCCTTTTCCTTCATTCCTATGTAAACAAAGCCTAAATTCGCCTGCCATTAATTTATCTTGCTTTTGTAGTGTTGTCAGGTAAATTTGGGTTATTTTCTATAGTCTAGTGTAACAATACAAGCGAGAAGTTCTTCCCTTCCCAAGCCTGGAGAGTAGGTTCCCTGACGCTTAGACATCTTCAACCCAACTGCTGGGGGTGACATTTCCCCAAAATGGGGAACCTTCCATTGGTGATTCTATTACTCACCTTTTATGACCATTTACCACCTGCCCAGGGTCAACTGCTTTAGTCCCTACCCACTTCTAGAGAGGAACACATTTTCCCTGAGTGTTCATTGGTTATCAAAGCTCATAATAAAATTATGGAATGTAAGGATTGAAAGGGGCCATACATGTTATCAACTCACAGACTTTTGTTTTACAAATGATGAAACCAAGGCCCAGAATTATTAAGTACTTTCCCTAAAGTTACAGAGTTAGCCTAACATGGAGCCAAGACTAAAATGAGAAACTGCTTGGTATAGAGAACAGTGTGTGGGCTTCAAATCCATCCTCTTCTAAGTTCTTTAACCTCTAGCCGCTCAGAGCCTCAGTTTCCTTATCACTGAGAATATATTGAGACTAGCAAACATTCAATACTACTTACTCTGTGTCAGGCACTAATCTTAACAAAGTACTTGTAATCTTTAATACTCTGAATAACTGACTTTTTTGGTTTGGCTTTGTTTTTACAAACTGGGAAATTGAGGCACAAAATTGTTAAGTAACATGCCCAAGAAAACACAGCAACAGCCAAACTGGAATTGAATAGGATAATATATGTAAAATGCCTAACATGTAGATTGTCGATAAAAGTATCACCAATGTCATTTCCCTACCTGAACCCCACACATTCTGACTCATGGTCCAATACTGGGCCAAGGCACCTTTGTTCTGAGCTTTGATTGCTGTGTATGCTCACATCTTTCTTCCATTCTATTATTTTAGTACTTTACATAATTTAGGAAGTACTGTATGTACCTATAATCTTATCCATTGTTAACAACAGTTACAACATTAAGAAGATAACCAAACACTAAACAAAGACTTCAAGTTTACTACTTACAAAAAAAAAACCAAACAAACCCCACTAATATGGAGTTTCTAGAAGATTAGCAGTGCTGTCCAGAAAAATCTTAAATCCTTGAACAGGACTGGACCAGTACCTTTGGGGTTTGGAGATTAGAGCAGGTCATTTATCATTTAGTGGGCCTCTACCTCCTTGTTACTTGAGTTCTTAAAAGCAGAATTATAGACATCTAAAAATATCCAACATAAAATCTTCCCACATCAGTGATTTTCAAAGAGTTAGGATCAAGAATGAGGTAAAAATACAGTATATGATCCTTGAAAAGATGAAATGAAAATACTAAATATATTTTAATAGGTTTAACCCTAATGGGTTCTTTAAGGTTTATTTCTGCTTTATAAGAATCTGGGAAAGCCTTCTTGAAATAAAATTTTAAGGCATCAATATAAAGTGACACCAGGAAACTTACTTAGATGTAAAGGTCTTGTGGGTAAAGGAAATATGAACTTCCTTGGGCAGGCATCCACTTTGTTCTTTGGACAAGGCAGCACTTAAAACAAATGGTGGTGATATAAATTGAGTAATGTTGTCTCTGGAACATAGCCTCCTATTTAATAGCAGGAGGAAGGTTGTGGGCAAGCAGATATGTCCCAAATAACTCATGCAGAGAACATGAAAAAGTATTAGATTCTGATGTGGGAGCTGAAACAAAATGGAGGATTGGGTTCTTCAGAGTAACTGTTTATGATTCAGTGACAGAGGCAAATAAGCCAAGAATAAACAGCCCAAGAAACTGGAGATTTGTTCAGTTCCGTGTCTGAATACCTGTTACATAACCTGGAGATGGCTTCAATCTCAGCAGTAAATGCTTAAAATAAACTTGACTACAGTTTGTAACGTTATAATGTGATTTTTTTTGAATGAGTGAATCTGAATAGCAAAAACATAGAGCAACAATAGCAAAGGACAGGGTTTATGCCTGTGCCTGATTAGCTTTAAAATAAGCTAAGGGTCTTAATTCAGCAGCCTTGAAGCCCGTGGGCAACGACCTAATTTCTTCCAAGCCAAGAGGAAAGCCCTTTACACACAGGGGTATAGGCCAGAGAGTAACAGGTGCTGTTCCCTCAGCAAATACCTTGGACTCAAAAGGAAATCTCCTTCATTCCTCCTCTGTCAGCAAAAGCATCATGCAAAGCCAAAAAATGAACCATGGAAAAGTAGAGAATTTTTGTTCTGTTATCTTTGAGTTTACATATTGAAGTTTATTTTATTTTATTTTATTTTTGCGGTACGCGGGCCTCTCACTGCTGTGGGCTCTCCCGTTGCGGAGCACAGGCTCCGGACACGCAGATTCAGCGGCCATGGCTCACGGGCCCAGCCGCTCCGCGGCATGTGGGATCTTCGCGGCCCGGGGCACAAACCCATGTGCCCTGCATCGGCAGACGGACTCTCAACCACTGCGCCAGCAGGGAAGCCCAAGATTTATTT